ACAATGTTCGTGTTGTCACGCACGAGATAGCCCATGCTCTTGGGTTCAGCATTGACACGCTGATGGTCCATACGTCTCTGGTAGCAATGCCCGGCCTCCGTGGTAAAAATTCCGCGCTCGTAGAGGCGTCTCCCAGGACACTGGAGAAGACCCGTGCACACTTCAACTGCAGCACTGCCCCTGGCATGGAATTGGAGGACGAGGGTGGAAGCGGGACTGCATTATCACACTGGGAGCGGCGCAACGCTAAGGATGAGCTTATGAGTGGCATCGCGGGAGCCGGATACTACACAGCACTGACAATGGCAGTGATGGAGGACCTCGGTTTTTACAAAGCGGTATGGGGAATGGAAGAACCGATGTCCTGGGGCCGTATGTCCGGTTGTAAGCTGCTGACTGACAAATGCGTGGAAAATGGTACTACCGACTATCCAGATATGTTCTGTACCACTGACAGCAACACACTAAGATGTACATCTGACCGCCGGGCATTGGGTACCTGTACTATCGGGACATATACCTTCCCTCTTCCCACTGAGTATCAGTACTTCACTGATCCCACAGCTGGTGCGAGGACCGGTAACTTGATGGACTATTGTCCCTATATTGCAGAATACAATAATACTGGGTGCACCAACGGTAATATTAATGTCATGCCTGGAAGTCGCGTTTCTTCGTCCTCAAGATGTGTGAAGGGGGACTCCCTTCACATTGCTACCTTCCCTATTGGTGATGTGTGTGCTGAAATATCGTGTGATAATGACACGGTTCAGCTGAGATACTTTGGTGACGATACATGGTACGAGTGTCCTGAGGGCAGCACCATAACACCAGTCACGACGTTCTCGAGTGGGCGGATTGTGTGCCCCCCACGCGCCGATGTTTGCATCGATTCGGGAGATGAGCACAGTGATTCGAGCGATGGGCACAGTGACTCGAGCGATGGGCACAGTGACTCGAGCGATGGGCACAGTGACTCGAGCGATGGGCACAGTGACTCGAGCGATGAGCACAGTGATTCGGGTGATGAGCACAGTGATTCAGGGAATAAGCATAATGATTGGATTAACATGATTATGTGGGAGATAAGCAAAAGGATTGAGGATATGAGCATAAAGATTCGGGCCATGAGCATAAAGATTTGAATATGAGCGTAATGGTTAGAGTCTTTCCATATCTGTGTGATTGCACTCTGTTGATAGACAGGCTGATGAATGGTAGAGTCATATAGCTCATGTTGGTGATATTTTGTTTTTTCTTTAATGTGCATGGAATGTTTTTTTTTATTTCCTTAAAGGAAAAAGTTCTATATAAGGATAGGAAAATAGCTAACTTTTTCGATATATTTCGCCCCGCACAACTAATGAGGTAGTTAATGTTTTAATTCGTAAAACGTAGAAATAAAAGCAGACACAGTGTAATTTCCCATCCAATGGAATGTGGTGTTTTGTTTTGTTGAGCTTTTAATCATAATTTGTTTTTCCGCATAACTGGATAAATTTTCTTCTTTTCTTTTTCTGTGTGTGATCTTATACTTTGGTAGACTGAGGCTTCCCCAAATATATATAAATATATATAAAGCTCCACTCTGTATGCATGGGTCGAGATGGCGTGGTGTATGCTGCATCTCGTTTACCTGGTTTGTCTGTTCTTATCCTCTCTCCCGCTTCCCTTTTTTTCTTTTTTTTTTTTTTACTTCCCTTTACTTCCTTCTCCTCCACGCTGCTGGGTGGAAGACCAGTATATTTCAGCAATATAAAGACCTAACACGCACACACGGGCAGACTAAAGAATGCGCTGTATACCACACACTGTGGTGCTACTCCTTTGTTGCACCATTGCTTGTTTCGCCAGCGCGGAGCACAGGTGCATTTTTGACAAGATCGCTCGCAAGGCCGGCACCCCAACGACAGTTGTAGTGCGGGAGGTGCCGCACCAACGGAGCAGTGGGGAGCAGGCAATGGCCATCTCCTCGTCAACCTGGGAGACCATGCGCTTCCGCGTCTTTACGGAGGACATTGAGAATTCATCGAGGTATTGTACTTCAGCATCGGATGTCCGTCCAGACTTCACGGGGGACATTGTGCAGTGCACTGAGGGCGACGTGCTTACGTCGGCAATGAGGTCCGCGATTATGGATCGTCTTATCCCTCAAGCAGTTCAAATGCACGTTGATCGTCTCCATGTACTAAGGACCGGCGGCAACATCGTTGTACCAACGTACACTGGTCTTTGTGGTGAATTTACAATTCCCAGTGACCACCATACGGTGGGTGTTTCCAATGCTGACATGGTCTCGTACGCCGCCGCTGGACCAACATCTGGTTCGACTCTTGCGTGGGCTACAACGTGCAGTGCTCTGATTATTGGACGCCCTGTCGTGGGTGTCATGAACTTCGGCGCGCAAGTTGCCACTGACACTGAGCACAATGTTCGTGTTGCCACGCACGAGATAGCCCATGCTCTTGGGTTCAGCATTGACGCGCTGATGGTCCATACGTCTCTGGTAGCAATGCCCGGCCTCCGTGGTAAAAATTCCGTGCTCGTAGTGGCGTCTCCCAGGACACTGGAGAAGACCCGTGCAAACTTCAACTGCAGCACTGCCCCTGGCATGGAATTGGAGGACGAGGGTGGAAGCGGGACTGCATTATCACACTGGGGGCGTCGCAACGCTAAGGATCACGGGATTTTGTTGTCTTTGTTGGAGCGCCGCCGGGAAGAGCAGAGCCGAACTGTAACCAGCGATTTTCTCGCCCATGGGTTTTTTTAGCGGGGGTTTCGTGTCGGTGATTTGCCGCCCTACTTTTGCCGGAAGGGCGTTTTGCGGCATCCGTTCAAGGGGGCGGGGGAGAACAACAAATTTCCAAGCAAGACGACCCCCGAAAAAGCCGCGGAGCGTTTGGAGGGAGTGGCCTCGGCAAAAGAAAAAAAAAAACCGGCCGGGAATCCGTTCGGGCAGGCGCAGCCTCGGGGATGCCGCCTCTTTTCGGCGTTTGGGCTTCGGGGCACCGCGCAAAGCCCCGGTTCCTCCCGTTCTTCAGGGGGCGGCCGTTGGAATCCGAAGTTCTCCTCGGGAAAGGTTGCGGGGGGCGGGACCGGGAACGCCGCGCGGCGCCGGGGTTCACTTCGGCGGCAGTTGCTTTCTCATTTTTCTACCTAGCTGGGCGTCCCCCGGGGGGTGGTGGTGGATTCGGAGGGGCGATGGGTTACGACGGCTTTGCCAACGCCCCCTTTGTGGGAATGGGGTCTCGCTGCCGGGGCCCGGCGCTTACCTTGATACCCCCGAACGGTGGAAAGCACGGAGCCGCAACAACGGCCCCAGGCCGAGGATCAAACCCCCCAAACCCAAGATTCCCTGTTTTCGGGGCCGCCGGCGGGCCTGGGCACAACCGGAGCCCGGAAAAAGCCAATGGCAACCGCCGGGGCGGCGCCACAAAGAACCCTCATTTTTTTTTCGCGCAAGCAGGAAAAAATCGAAGAATGGGGGCAGGAGGTGTTTGCGGGCGGTCCCTCGGCACGCCGCTTCTTCTTCGGAAGGAAAAAAAAAAAGGGGGTCGCCCGTGCGCGCCTTGGGGTTTTCCGGAACCCTCTTATGCGCTCGGATCTTGCCTTCCCCACTGAAACCACCAGTTACCGCGCTATTGGGGCACCCCGCACTCACGAAAACCCCGCCGGTAGCCACCCGCCGGCCCGCACCAGCACACCCAAAACCGAACATTGCCGAAGTATATCGGAAACAAAACGTTATAACCGTCCGAAACCCACGACACATCCGATTTAAGAAGCTGTTCTTCGTTTGGAAAACGCTTGGGCCCCCACCCGCTCTCACCCGCCACCCGCCGCCAAATGCCGCCCGGAACTTTGAAGAACAAACGGCCCCGCCCGAACGAGAGCAAACCAGTTTTTCAGCGCGAAAAAAGTTTGCAATTTATTTCATATCTTATGGCAGAGTTATTTTCCAATAAAGAATTTACGCATTCCCTCCAACATTCAGAAACTCTATTGATAAATCGGTCCGGTTTTGGGGATGCGAAACCCCATTGGGACTTGAGAAAGACCCTCGCACCATCTTCAGAAAATAGATAATGTAGAAAAAGGGATTCTCCCAACACACGCGCGCGCGCACGCACACACTCTAGTTGCACGCATCACGTTTGAAAGCTCAATTTCTATCTATTTAACCCAGGCCCCTCTGAAGAGACGGCACCTCAGCTCCCACGCTGCTTTGCCTTTTCTATCAAAGAACCTTTTTTCCTCTTGCGGTTGATTTTTACACCTATGATCTCATACCTCTTTCTCTGTTTTAATGCTCTTGTCTCAATTTGCACCTTCTCTGCTGCATATTACGCGTAATTATTTTTTGAGCCTATTTATCTACAATTTCTTGTGATCCACCAATGCCGTTGTTGCCATTCACAAACGAATTATCAACGAAAGCGACTTGGCAGTTGTGCAACCGTACTGACCTGAAACCACCCGCAAGGACATCTGTGATTGCATGTGAAATTTTCAGAGATAATCAACAGTCCATGGGAATCCACGTGAGTAGTACAAACTCGGCCAAATTCTATTTTGCCATGGAACCTTCTAGCGCAGCTTCTGGAGGATCCACCCGAAAAAAAAAAAGATTCCTTTACCTAAAACAAAACTGCTGAACTACCTTAGCCACGATAAGAAATAACGAAATGCCGTCCAAAAGAATTTGGGCCCCGTACCCCTGCCACTTTTCCTTTCCCACCGGCAATATAAATTTTCTGTTTTCCGCGCCTTCCCCCAAACACGGCAACGCCGCCAACAGCAGGCTAGCAAACCCACCGGCGGACGCATCACTCGCGAGGCAAAATGGATAGAACAAGATCCTGGGGGAAGCGTTGCGGCGCAGATTTGCTCCACCCCAACCCCCTTTGCCGGTATCAAATCTATGCCCGCCATGGGGTCGCCAGCGTCCTTGCCACATGGTCGTTGCTATTTCTCTGGGCCGCCCCAGCGGCGCGTAACGCCAAGACGCCGTTGCGACTGCCGATGGTGCCCGCCATTGCGCGGGGCTGGGCCTTTTCATAAAAACTATTCCCCAGCGCAACGCGCCCTGACCCGGCGCCGCGCGGCGGCTTTAACCCAGGGGCGCGCCGTGCCACAAACACCCGCCCGACAAGCGCCACCGGGAGACAACATTCCCAAAGAACACCGGCGCCAATAACGTTTGCCTTTGTTTTTTTTTGTGGGGACCCCAGGCTCCCGTTATGTGGTTTTTTTTTTTTGCTTTGGGGAGTGGGGGGGTTGTTGCTGGGTTTTTTTTTTAGTTAGAGAATTCTTCTATATTTTTGTTTAAACCATTTCCATTAGAGAGGGCCAGCCCGCGCAAAAACTCCATTCGGACCTTCGCCACCCAAAACCCATTCTCAGGTCAGTTTTTTTGTGCACCTAATTGCCCCCAATGAACTCCTATTTATTTTGTCACTTCTTCGATCGGCGGAAAACACCCCTCACGCGCTATTCTGCCAGGCCCTTCATAGCCAACGGCATCGCCAGTTCCTGCGTGAAAAGGAGTATTTCGCAGGGGAAGGCGAGGATGCATGGGGTTCCTCGGGCGGGAAGGCCGGGGCATAACGTAGCCCCGCCCCACCGCAATAAGGAACCGCGCCAAACGCCTAGAAGCACATAGTTTCATCAGGGGCGCATCAACTATCGCAAATTTCACCCGCAGTGGATGAAGGACGATGCAACCCAAGCGATGCAGAGCTGTTTCTTCGTATTTGGCGCGTTGGCTGTTGTGCGCGCTCGTGGGGTGATATCCGTGCCGTGACATTCGGCGCAGAGTTTGCCCAATTTTCCCACACACTGCGTCAACCGCATACGGGGCAGACTAATGCCGGAAGGTCTCTTGTTTTTGCCGGTTTGCGCTGGGATTGGTTGGGATCTTCTTTTTCTTAGCATCCCTTCTCCCTCATGGAATTTTCCGCGGCGGGTGGCGAGGGAGGCTGGGTGGGCGTAAAACTTTCGGAATGCCCCACATGGAAACCTGTCAGAGTCCCCACTCTCCGCTGGCGATGTATCTCGCAACCCCATGCCAACGCGCGCGCATTAGCATCAGCACCAATGAGGTGAGTTCTGCTCGTCGCCAAAAGCGTGTCAAGTGGCGAGGTTGCGCATGATCTCCCCGGAGGAAAGAGCATGCTGACGCCACTGTGAGCGGCAGACCTTCTGACATGTGGATCGTTGCATGAGCATGCCCAATGCTTGCAACTACGGTGAGTCCTACTTCTACTGGCAGATCCTCGCGCACAAGAATCGAAACGCCACCTCCCTTAGAGGGGTGGGGCACTCCATGATGTTGGTAACCAGCAATTGTGAAACTCGACACTTCCGCACAAGATAGTTTCGCCTCGCTTAGAAGGCAGAATGTCACATTCTCCTCAACAAGGGTTTTGTGGAGAGCAAGCCTCTTGGCCTGGGTAAGCCCAGCTGGGTTCCACAGCACTCCTCGCAGTGAAGGCCGGGATTTTCCTCTACATCACCACCACTCAGCTGCAACCTGGTGCGGGTGATACTGCTGATAGCACGTTGAAACGTGCCCCAGGATCTTCTTGGATAAAATTATGCTCCAGCGCGATGCGGCTTGCTCCGGTACTTTATAACGCCTTAGCCTAAGGGTCAACGGGTCTTCCAAAAAGAAAAACGTCGCTGGCTCTTTGCTTACTCTGAGAATGCAAGGTGCTGGAACTCGGTACCCTTGGTAACGACGGATACCTTATCGAGGTACCAAGGTTAAGTACTTGAATTTATTCAAGGAAACTAAATGCACTCACTAAATTTTTGAAGGAGGCGGCCTCCCCAACAACCACACTGTATTTTGCAGGAGGCGGTCTCCTTAAAAACCATTTTCTTTTTATTTTTAACACATGTGTTCTTAGGAATGCTATCCCCTTGGTGACGTTTGGCCCTCGAAAGGTGGAGCCAAGGTCCATTATCCCTTATTATTTTGGGGAAGCAATGGCCATTAAACTCTATGGAAAGAGTTTGCTGGTTCATAAGCTAAAAACGCCATATAGCCCCTGGCCAGCAGAGTCGTTCTGGGAGAAAACTTTATCCAAGAAGGCCCCGGGGCGCGCATCAGTTTACCATCGGCAGCAGTTTCTTTTACATAATTCACCTTAGTGTGAATGCTGCTAAAAAAGGAGTGGCAGGGACCTTAGAGATAGTAACAACTATGCCCTCCAGTGGCGAAATTGTATTAGCCCGCTGAGGCGACTCAGAGAGGTGAAAATATCCATGTTCTGCCACCTCTGAGAGCCATTGTAGTCTTATTACCAATGCGTAATTCCTCTGCCCAACGGTAAACCATAAAAAAAATAAAATAATATACGTATATCTTTATATTTATTGTTCTTGATGGCTAAGGCCATTGGGGTAAAACCCATAAAGAGAGGAAGAATAATAATGAATAATCTTGGCCTTACTTCACCTATGAAAGAGAAAAGAAGAAAACAAAGAAAACAGTGTATTTTACCTCTACTACTAGTAACCCCGTATCATATAAAAATACAAACAAATATAAATCGAGATTTTACCATACAGTTATTTATTAAAGAATCCCAAAACTGACGAAAAGGAAGTGCTGAGAAGCCCTTTTATCCCGCCTCCCGCTCTCCCCATCGCAAGTTCCACCCCGTCGCTAAGTCTACTGAGTGGACTGGTTTACCTCGAGATATGCCATCCGCAGGGTTCTGCTCTGAAGCTACATAACTCCACGTTGCTCG